AAAAAATACTCTTTAACGTGGCCTTGCAGCTTTTCCGCTTCAGTAATGCCTCGAATTTCCCTGCTACCGTGAAATCGATCCGCACAGGGCGGCAACGACCTGTACCAGTGAAGCTGTTACTGAAGAAAAGCTATGGCAAAGTTATGAGTGTCGCGATCGGCTCAGCGAAACCGGTCGCTGCGCTCATACTGTCGAGATCGGAAATCTCCCAGTTATACTACAAAATATCTAATGTTTGAGAAGCTAGCCCAAGATGGTCGCCAGAAAACACTACAAGTAGGCATAGCCTACAGATTATCTTTGAACACCGTACAAGTTAACCTTATGATGTTCAACGTAAGGCACTGAGGAACCTGGTGTAGTATTAACGGATACTGGATGCATTTGTCTAGCTTGGTGAGCCTTGAATAAGCCATCCACAGAATAACTAACCGACGCGATAAGCCCAGAGCGCATAATAAGGCCTTAAACCATGGCAAAAAGCGAGATTTATCTTCGCAGATGCCGACGAGCAGTGTTCCCTCGGAGGAGAACTTGATCAATTTCTGAGCGAGTGCGACTTTCTTTTTAGTCGTGGTTTGCCACGCGTACGCATCGAATCCTATTCGTACTTAAATAGTACATGTACTTGGCAATTCTCGTTGACTGACGTAGATGCGTTAGGGCCTGACCATCGTAAGGTTAATATGCTTAGCCCGCGCACGCGCGACAAAGTTGAACGAAGGTCATCAAAGCAGAATGTTCCTTAACGGTCTCCTAATGTTACTTGTGTCCAAGTTTTACTTGTAGTAAAATATGCTTGGATGGCATTCAGACGAAAAAAACCCATTACAAGTTTAATGGCTTTTTTTCGTCTGAATGCCATCCAAAGCATATTTTATTACGCAACGACAAGAAAAAACTTTTTTGGGTTGATTTATAAATTCGCTTTTTTTTGTGTCTAAAAGCAAAATTATATTTATCAATACTGGTTTTATTTTAATTATGCAAAGTAAAATAATAATAATTTTAATTTTCAGCAAACACTTGTATTTCAAAGTCAATCGTCATAATTTATCTATATCAATTCAGAGAGACTCCTCCTCCTCGCCTCTCAAATTCCGGCATGTTGACGTCCCGCCGCGCAACGTCGGCGCTGCGCCGCTGCCGTACGCCTCTATACGCTTCCTTCTCCAGCTCTCCAGACGTGCCCAAGAACCAGAATGCGCCACCCGCCGCCTCTGAAGGTCCTGCCAAGCCCAAGAAAATCCTGTCGGTGCGTGCCTCCCCAGCTCAGAATCTGCGCAATGCACTGGAGGCTCTGGACGAGATGATTGAGGAGGCAGACCGCAAGGTGGAGAAGAAATACCGACCCAACATGTTCGCAGAGTTCAAGCAACTTAATGACACGGAGGGAAAGGTACTGGAAGGCAGCGAGACACTCATTGAGGTGGGCAAAGCCAAGAGCGTTCCGTCCTTGAAGGTGGACACTCTGGACGGCAAACAGGTGGACGTCCAGAACTTCGTGACCAACGGTAAAGCCACGCTTGTGCTAACAGCCTTCAAGAACTACGGGTTGGACATGCTACCGGCGTGGCGGGACGGCTTCGTGGCCGCCTTTGGGGACAAACAGGGCAAGCTGGACAGCAGAGTGCAAACAGTGACGCTCAACGTGATCGAGGACTGGTACATGAAGCTCGTGAGTGGAAGTATCACCCGTGGTTTGCAGGAGAAGACCCCCAAGGAGCTACACGCCACCACATTCGCCCACTTTGGACGTTGCGACGAGTTCCGGACGCCCATGGCGCTGGATAACAGTTTTGTGGGATACGCACACCTGGTGGACGGCAAAGGACGTATCCGATGGATGTACGTGGCGGATGAGTAGTGCTGTAAGTGATTGTGAATTGACACGGTTGTTGTGGTGGTGTATAGTGCAGGAGGTCCGGCCACGCCGAAGGAGCTGGATAGGTTAGCAAAGGTGACCAAGCAGTTGCTAGCGCAGAGTGCTCAACACCGTCGTCGATAAGCAGATAGATGTCTTTGAAGCTATACACATGTCAATAGATTTCCACTGTCAAAAGCGCGACACTAGAAAAGTCATGCCAGTGTGAAGGCAAATGCAATCTGATAAACGCATTGGGTAGTACGACGTCGTGTTTAGTTGGTTGTCGAGACGGGTGTGACGACGGCACCTCCTCTTGCGGGAGTGCTTTCGACTGTGATATCTACCGCACCTAAGTCCACATTGCTCTTGCACATCGGGCAAGACTGGCGAGACAGGAAGATTATGTTAGTATTCGACTGCAGTAATTTATGGTTTTGTGGTAGCGTACCGTGTTGCGTTTCAGCCACTCGTCAATGCAAGCAACGTGGAAAATGTGTTTGCAAGGGAGATTCCGAACGTCCTCGCCGTCTTCGAAATCAATCTACCATTGATACGCACACATTTCCGACGAATGTAAGCCTCTAAAATATAGCAAAGTGGAGTTAAGGGATCCAGCGTACCAAGCAGATTGGGCAGATATCCTCATTTTCAGTCGAGCCAACGCTGGTTGGACTGGGTAGTGCTGTTGGCGACTCTGGATTCCGCTCCGCACGGTTGTATTTCGTGATCCGAAGTTGATCCAGTCTTTCCTTCGTCACACCACGAACAACCGCAGCACCACGCATCTGAGCAGCACGCAGCTACAAAAGCAACAGTTAGACTTCCCATCGGTTGTTAGAAATTTAAGACAAACTTACATTTCTCCGGTCCGCGCGTCGCCAACGCAGTAGAAGTGCTAGCAGAACGAAAACCACTGTGACGATGAAAGCTCCTAGCACGTAAACGAGGGATTCCGGATCCAGCGGAAGCGTGTTGGTAGCCGCATCCGTCGTCAC